GTAAATCTGATAGGTTTCCCTTTATACCTACAACACACATTACCGTTAGAAATATACGACACAATAAACGAAACTCTCATATCTTACCGCTGCAATGCAACCTCAAACTCTTTCCACGATGCGAGTCCGCCGTCAAAGGGGGTAATGTAATCTTGAACGTAGGTTGTGCACGCAAAAATGTTTCTTGACCTCTCTGGGCTGAGACAGGCGGAGATCGCGTGTCCAGGACGGCACCAAATGCACGCACGGTAGAGAGATGGCGGCGCTCGACGACTGTGCAAAGCAGCGGAGCGGAGGTTGCAGCGCAATGTGACGGCGTGGGGCCTACTGATCGAGGCCTGATCGAGGGAGCGAAAGAAGAATGGCTGGCGCTGAACGGTTTGATTTTGTTTTTAAAAATAGAAATACGCATAATACCTTTAATAGGGATAAGACCGGTAAATAGACCTTTGTGCCCAAAAACGAGGTGATCATAGCCACTTCCCTATCGGCTCTCCACTTCCTATCGGACTAACAATTGTCTGGAAAAGAATAAAACCGATTCTTCAAAAAATAAATACCAGTAGAAAGATGACATTGTTACACTAGATATATTTGTGGAGCCATTGGATTTAATCCTTTTACTGACAATGGCTGATCCAAAATTTAATGTTTTCTAGGAGAACGAATTTTAAAATGACTACTATCAAGATGTTCCACTTTACATAGGACTTTACAAAAGTATTAGCGTGCATAACAGACGTCGCAAACGTAATTTTCCGGTTAACCGTACCCGTCCGAAAGCCCTGGTCATCGAGTTTCGGATGGCCATGAGGACCTTTCGGACAACCATGGCTACCCCAAATTAGAGATCGGTTAACCGAAAATTACGTGTGATTTATGTAAAGAATACAAAAAGGTGAAATACCATGTTCTTATTCAATATTTCCGCTTAAAATAAGCTGACACACCGCCTTCTCTCGGTTAAATACGCGAGTCGATCGTAGCGAACAGCGAAATTGCCAGCGGATACAACAGGGTTGGTGAAGACGTCAAACTCGAGGTAGCCATACATTTTCAAGGAAGATCGCCTGAGTGTAAAGTGAATCGTGCGTCGGTCAGGGTGGTAGCCAAGACTGCGGTGGCTGCATTTGCAAGAGTCGCCAGCGGTCGACTCAGCATCATCTTTAAAAATGCACCAATACCGTGTAGTAATAAAACCATTTTGCCTGCGCTCCAGTGGGCAAAAACATTTTTTTTGGCCTCGCGTACCGAAGTGAAGCGATGAATGTGTTATTATAGATTTCATCCTACAATTACCAAGTGACGTACGCCTTGGCTACATAATGAAATTTAAATACTTTTACAACGCGCGACAAAATCTTTCGGACACTTACATTTTTATCGATAGCTTGGCTTCTAGAACGAGTTGAGGCATGATATTTAGATATGTTTAGCCAATCCGATAAGTCTATAGCTGGCATGTGACCCGGAGCTAGAATTCCGAGTATGTCGGTAGGCTGGCATACAAGGAGCTAAAAATTGGGCTGCCACACGATTCTCGGAAATTTTTTTATCTTTTTTTGATTAAGGGCAAGAATGATTGTCCTAAGCGATCATCTAATCAATCTCCTTTCTGACTTCATTTTAGTAAGGTACGCGGACCACCCATCGCTGACAAAAAGTGAGGGAGGATCAACGGCCTCCACGAAGCAAACGTGGGGGTGAGAGAGATCGGTCGCCGCCTCAAGAGGTCGCCGGACGGCGTGAGCTACGTACTGCGCACTGAAGACAAGCGCGCGGCAAAGCCTGGTGGGTCGAAGAGCCTCACCGACCACCAGATTCGGCAGGTCGTACGTGGGGCTGCCACGGAAAACTATTCGGCAGCGCAGCTGAAGGCTACGTATGGGCTAGAATGCTCAGTTCGTACCGTTCAGAGGCTGTTGTCTACGGTTTAAGTTCTAGTCTAATCAAAGATGGACAGAGCGCCCCCACTCACACAGGAGCACATGGATGCACGCTTAGAGCTCGCTGAAAGGCCTTCATTTGCAGCCCAGAAGGAGATTGTTTGCCCTATAATTATTTTTTCTGATGAGAAAAAATTTAATCTAGATGGGCCTGATGGCTATAAACATTATTGGAGGGACCTTAGACGTCCTGCTCGGCGTTCTTTGATGCGCCAAAATGGAGGAGGATCGCTAATGGTGTGGGGCGCGTTTGGCGCTAAGGGTAAGTCGGAATTGGTTGTTCTGGAGGGGCGCCAGAAGTCGTCGAACTACATCTACACGGTGTCTGAGTACATGCTTCCGTTCGCACACGCTAAATGTAATACAGACTTTGTGTACATGCAAGACAATGCGTCTATTCACGCTTCCTACGAATTCATGGGGCTCTTCAAAGAGCAAGGGGTGACGGTGCTCGACTGGCCTGCAAGTTCCCCAGGCCTGAACCCAATCGAGAACGTGTGAGCAATCCCCGCATGAAAGGTGTACAGTAATGGCAAGCAGTATGCGTCTGTACCTGAGCTAACAGCTGCTATGAAGGCTGCATGGGATTCGGTTACGATGGACGAGTTGATGAAGTTGATGGACTCGATGCCATCGCGCTGCTTTGAGGTAGCACGAAAGAACGGTGATAAGACGCATTACTGATTGGTTATCGCTTAGGACACTCATTCTTGCCCTTACTAAAATAAGAAAAAAAAATTGTCCGAAAATCGTGTCGCAGCCCAATTTTTAGTTCCTTGTACTGTATGCCCGCCTACCGACATACTCGGAAATCAAGCTCCGTGTCACATGCTAGCTATAGACCTATTGGATTGTCTAAACATATCAAATAGCACGTCTCAACTCGCTCTAGAAGCCAAGCTATAAATAAAAATGTAAGTGTCCGAAAGATTTGTCGCGCAGTGTATCATATTGTTTATTCGCGATTAAAATATTATAATATGTTTTGTGCCATCGCTTGCTGATCGCTTCGATGTCCGCTCATGCTTATGGTAACCAAATACCAAATAACAATTTTTTTTTATAGTAGTAGTACAATTTTGATATTTAATACAAATAGTAGCTTATTTTTTTCAAAAGGTAACATAATATTTGAAAATAATCCGGAGATGTGAAAGATATTAGATACAATATGATACTTCACGATATTTCCCACTGAAGTACGTTTCTTGCCCAAACACTTGCAGTTGTTTAATGTCGATAGAGCGAAATCAAGGTATTTGTTCTTGTTCTCTACAAATAGCCTTGTCCACATCGTCGTCTAATATATATATATACTATATTTAAACCTGCAGCCTGTGATGCTAGATTAATGCTCTCAGCTGTGCCAACACACGACGCCAACCTTGCCGTCACTCTTACAATTGTCCCGGACTCCATCCCCCTCACGGTTGATTAGTACTACTTCAGCTAGTCCAACGTTAACGACACCTGGTTGGTGGATTTAAACCGATTGCGCAATATTTGGAAAATATAAATTCGTAATTAACTAATATTAGGTTGATACGTAATAATAATATCATTTTGTCTTAGAATAAAATATTAGGTGGTACATGTATTTTTAAATTAACTGGTCTACAGGTGAAATTTTCACAATATTAACTTCACCGATTTTAAGGTTACCATTAACCCCTCGTGATTGTACGTGTACTACGGTAATCAAGCGAGCTGTCTTCATGATTACGTTAAAGACGGCTCGCGTGATTGCCGTGGTACCGAGGACTTCAACGCCGTTATTGAATGATTCACTAAAAGCCCACCGAGTCGGTGGCCGACAAAGTAGTTTTTAACCACAGCAGCTGCGCCCAGATTCCAAGTGTACATCATGTGAGTCACTGGGAAGAAGTCCTTCAAGGACCCCGCTTTTGTCTCCCAGATCTCACTTCGACTATTTTTCCTGGAAAGCAACGGGCCTATTCTGTGGCAATCAACATTTGCGTCATGTGGCCGTCGACTCCTCGCCTTCTTGCTCTGGGGATGCCAGACTGGGGAAACGTAAAATACTTGGTTGACTGATCCTCAGCAGCTGTAAAATAATTTTAATTAAAATTTAATTATTCATGGTGTTGAAGACTTCAAGCATTTCACTAATTCCGATGTTTGTTTCATATTTACTAACTTGATGTTCGAAGGCTCAAACTCCAATACTGTGTTAATCGCCGCCGCCCTTAGGCAACGCCGAACTCGATGGGTGACGGTGCCAACGCTGCTTTATGGAAGGCTTCCAGGGAGTGGAAGGAATGGCCGGCAATTTGCCGGGCGGCAACTTTACTGACAGCGAGGCTGACTGTCAGTCTGATACTGTCAACCTCTGTGTTTGCAATACAACCCTTCCGTATTTCAGAAATCCAAATTATTGAGGTTGACTATTAGCTAGTAAGTTAGCTAATAGCAACAGCTTTGCGTCTCGGTGTCAATTGCCTCTCAATGAGGCTCATCGCTGTACAGTACTACATGTAAAATAACCTGCTACACATATCGACGGAAGATATGGCCTATATGACTGTACCTGTCGCACTGTTGAATTTTTGCAAACGAATCGCTTTGGATAGGCCCCAGAGTCTCACTGTTATAAAATCTCGAGTTTTTGTTTCCCGCCTGCAACTCGGCTTGTTTTTGGAATGTCGTGAATAGTGGCCTCTACGTATTAGTAATATAACCCCTCTCGTAGTACCGGTCACCCTAACACGTAGCAGTTTTGTATGTTCTTAAGGTTACATGTACTGGGGCAGATTCTTTATCAGGCTACGCTCTGAGGCATCCAATGTGGATTCTTACGGTACATCCAACAGACAAAACCACGTGATGAAAACTTTGTTTCCATCACGTGGGCAACGACACGCACACAGGCCCCTCTCAGTGAGAGTCTCACAAGTGCAATCCCGCCAAATCATAGAGATTCGTGCGAAGCTCTTTTGTCCTTCGAGCGCTTACCAAGATGCCAAGCTCGAGTCCTCTCGACTCACTTTTCAATTCCCCTCGTGACAAGTATCAAGTTTGACGCTCCAAGTCGACATGTGGGTCCTCAAGTCTCCGCATCGATTCCTCGCCTTCGCTCTTATCACGCTGTTCGCACTAACAGCCATGATGACATCCGCCAACCAACAAGTCGAGCCGACCCACCGTCGACTTGCAACTCTCGCCGACGCACCCTCTCTGCGACTCCAGTTCACACTCAAGCGACCCACCATGAACGTCTACGGACAGACGCAATTCTATGTCTTCGCCAACCCCATCGTGTCCTCTGACAACACCTCCGTGCTCTACGATGGCTACACCGCATTTATGGACGGCACCACCGACTACACCTTGATGCTGGTGAACGGCGTCGCCTACTTCGTGACTTCCCAAGTTGGTGATGCGAGCAGCGCTTCCGCGCAGTGTTTGTCCTCAAGTCTGTTACCTCCTATTAACGACATCGTGTCGGCACTCAATGATGCCACCGCCATCTCGAGTGCGGCAGCCGGTAATGACACGATCACGTGTGCAAGTGGTAACCTCTTCCAAGCTACCCTCGGTGATGCAAACTTCGTCATTTGCTCGTCCGTGTCGGATGGCTTTACCATCTACGGCAGTGATCTGGACATCAGTGTCGAGTATTTGGACAGTCCGGTTGATATCACTGCCCCAACGGTGAGCGGTGATGCAGCGCTGTCCTGCGAGACTGTCGTGACGCCTACGTCCGTGTCGGAAACCGCGGTCGCTCTGTTAACCGGCCAGACCATTCCGTCGTCGATTCGGCGTAATCTGCAGTCAGGGTCGACGATAACGCTGGCAGCTTCGTCTTGCGCGTGCAAGTCAACTCGACGCCCGTGCATCTTCTTCCACGGTCTTGGTCAGACCTCTGAGCAGAGTACGCTCCAGACGAAGTCTAGCTACTTTGGTGATCTTTCGAAAAAGGCTCCTTGCTGCTCGTCCATCAAGTACGCTCAGTTGAACACGGCGAGCAACTCGTGGACTGACGCTACACTTCAGCAAAAGGTGTGTGACTTCGCTCTTTCCGCTAGCAGTACGAGCAGTTCGTCGTCAAAGACTATTGCGGACACCATCATTGTCACACACTCTATGGGCGGCCTCATGGTGGCTGGTGCTGGCGAATGGGCGATGCAAATTCGCATCAAGCACTACATGGGTGAGTTTGAGCGCCCCAATGACTGGAAGTATGGGCTCTGACTATTTGCAGGACGCTTGCAGTGGAAGCAACGGTTTCCTGCAGGCCGTAGCAAACCTCATCGGTCGGTGCCCTGCTAACAACGGTGTCCTCGGGATGGCGTATCAGAACGAGGCGCGCAGCACCTCAGCTCTGAACTCGGCGTATGTCGCGGCTCAATCTGCTTTCCGCTCAAATGTCGACGCTGCGTTGTGCAGCGACGACTACTCGGGTTTGCTTTCAACGGATCAAGTTGTGTACAAACTGGGGGGCTCCTTGATTCCTCATAAATCTTCACAAAATGACGGAATCGTCGAGTACAAGAGCTGCGCTGGGGGGCTATCCACGTCCAAATTCGGTAGCAATTATGCCGATACGTTCTACGTGACAGGTCTGAACCATGCCGACACGTCTTTCCGCCACGGAGACGCGCTAGTGGTGAACTCTCAGAATGGTTCGAGTGCTTGCTGTAAGTGGTAAAAGTCAAGCCAGTTTCAGTTGCAGCCACTCTTGAGTTGAGAGCTACTGCATGTCGAGAGATTTTCTGTGTTATCAATGTCATTGATTCAATGAGCTTCTATAAACGGCACTCACTGAATAGGACCAAAATGGCAAATTTGGTCGGAATTCACAATAACTTTTTATTGAGCATCTCAATTTTTTTTTACATGAATAAGCTTAGAGCTATCTACATACGATCATCGCTGTATCGATAGCGTCGAGAGGCCGCGTTATATTACTATATAGAGGAGCTTTTCGGAGCTGTATCCAATAAACGATCCAAACAACACAAGTAGGCGGTTCAGCCGATGGTTGATGTTCTTACAAAACCTTCACTCGTTTTGGTGTATACAACTCGTTCCGCAGTACTGCGATAATGATTATCCCGGCTTATTGTAGACCTACCAAGCTGAATACTAGCATTCAGAGTCTGATATTCCACCCAAATTGCACCTCGCGGGCGCAGAGGGAGGCCTCGGGGTGACTGTGTACGAAGATTCCGTCAACGTAACACGGTGCGAAGTCACGGAGCGGACGCAGCACATGGGAAACCATGTGATTAAACGTGGCGGGGGTATTCCTTAATCCTTGTGGCGTAGGAAGCCACTCCCAGAGCATGCCACATGAGTCATTACCACTGTGACTAGAGGTATGTCACTCAATCCCAAGATGATTTGATAGAATCAATCGGTCAAATCGATGCATCTGTAGACCTCATGGCGTCGCGCACCATGTCTTTCCGGGGATTCGGCGTCTGGGCAGGAATGGTAGCGTCATTCAGCGTATTGAAGGTGTGAGCGATGTGCCCAGTGGACAGAAGGTCGGACTTGAGTGCAGCGATATGCTCTCACACACACACAATCCCCCTTGCGGTGGCCCTTGAAGAAGTCGGCGATGGATTGGACAGGATCCTGCTGGAGTGTCCACTGTCGTATAAACAGTATTTCAAGCCGGGCACGAAATCAGTCTCGTGACGAATTCACTAATCCAGTAGCTCAGCTGGCACCTTGTCAGGGAAATCGTCCTCGTACTCGCACTAAGTCTTGTAGACTGGACCACCTGATTTACGAAGGGTTTATCACGACTTCTCTGCAAAGTGCTTCTTGCGGGCCGGATCCGGCTCGGGGCTCTTTGGGCACGAGGAGCTCATCGTCACTAACAGCAGTAAATTTAAGCGACGCCTAATCGGCGTCGATGTCAAGGTAGCCCAGATCGATTTCACTGTCCTTGAGATCAGGAAGGAAGTTCTTCGAGGCGATGCCCGAAGTTAAGTCATCGACTACTGGACCCGTCCATTTTTTGACTGGTCAGAACGCACGGGCTCTGCATCGACAGAGGAAAGCACTGGAGATGACGTGCGACACTCCGCCGCGTGATGACTGACCTTTCAGCAACTGAAGCAGGCGAGAAAACGACCGTTCCGACGTGTTTCCATGGTCCATTCATTCATGTGCCGCAAGGCGCTGCTCGTTGGGCGTCGCTGAGCGAGAAGCGACGTGACGATAGCTTCCTCGGACACCGCAATGAGGGGGTGGAGAGTCCCCCCCCCGCCCACAAGTTCCGAGTGAGATGAGGGTGAAAAGCGTGGTCGGGGTCTCGACTCATGTCGAACATGGGCATTGGAAGGACTGCAAAGTGCTACCAGGCTAACTGGTCAGGTATGAACCTTGGGCCTTGCTTACATTATAGTACTGAGCAAGCTCGCAAGAGGACGACTGCGTCTTAGGCTTAAGCCGGTTTGCTAGTGGTATTTAGTAAACAAATATGTACTATTTAGTGGCACATGCTACGCAGCATAATTGGCGGTTAAAATACTTAATGACCGCGTTCATAGCGTCAGTGCAGCCCTGTCGTCGGTAAAACATATCAAGCCGTGAAAACCCGGCATCTAAAAGCAATCACAAATGTATACACGACTGAAGCTTGTCCGCATCACATACACACTATCAACATGCAAGTAAAGATCTTGTAGCGCTCGTACATCGGCTGCTGAGGGTCCGGTTTGTCTCCATCGGGAATGGGAATGCTGCTCTCAGGAGGCGAAGCCCGCGCTACTGACAAAAATAGCCCGAAACCCTGGACAGACAGTACGCCGCAGCTGAAGCCATCTCGCTGTTGCCATCCTGGGAAGATTTTAACATCCATTTAGGTCGTCATTATAGGAACAATTCTACTATTGTAAACTCTCTCCACTCATCCAGCAAATCTTGTCTGTGAAATGGGTCGTACGTCCACACAATCAGACACTCCATGTTAACGACGATGTCGCACCAGTGTAAAAACTTCACGTTAATGCAAACTAGACAACACACAGCTCGATTGGTTTCCATTTGACTGAAGACACGATCGCTAGTGTCGATGTAACCTTTTTTCCTTTTCTCATCTGCCATTTGAATATAGGTTGAATCACCTATACTCCCTAACGTAGACTTACGCCTCTGCAACATGTAGAGAATCCAACTAGACACATCTGCCTGTAGGGTTTGACCGTACGGAGGTTACTCTTTCCTATCTTAGCGTCAGTGCAGCCCTGTCGTCGGTAAAACATATCAAGCCGTGAAAACTCGGCATCTAAAAGCAATCACAAATGTATACACGACTGAAGCTTGTCCGCATCACATACACACTATCAACATGCAAGTAAAGATCTTGTAGCGCTCGTACATCGGCTGCTGAGGGTCCGGTTTGTCTCCATCGGGAATGGGAATGCTGCTCTCAGGAGGCGAAGCCCGCGCTACTGACAAAAATAGCCCGAAACCCTGGACAGACAGTACGCCGCAGCTGAAGCCATCTCGCTGTTGCCATCCTGGGAAGATTTTAACATCCATTTCGGTCGTCATAATAGGAACAATTCTACTATTGTAAATTCTCTCCACTCATCCAGCAAATCTTGTCTGTGAAATGGGTCGTACGTCCACACAATCAGACACTCCATGTTAACGACGCTGTCGCACCAGTGTAAAAACTTCACGTTAATGCAAACTAGACAACACACAGCTCGATTGGTTTCCATTTGACTGAAGACACGATCGCTAGTGTCGATGTAACCTTTTTTCCTTTCCTCATCTGCCATTTGAATATAGGTTGAATCACCTATACTCCCTAACGTAGACTTACGCCTCTGCAACATGTAGAGAATCCAACTAGACACATCTGCCTGTAGGGTTTGACCGTACGGAGGTTACTCTTTCCTATCTTAGCGTCAGTGCAGCCCTGTCGTCGGTAAAACATATCAAGCCGTGAAAACTCGGCATCTAAAAGCAATCACAAATGTATACACGACTGAAGCTTGTCCGCATCACATACACACTATCAACATGCAAGTAAAGATCTTGTAGCGCTCGTACATCGGCTGCTGAGGGTCCGGTTTGTCTCCATCGGGAATGGGAATGCTGCTCTCAGGAGGCGAAGCCCGCGCTACTGACAAAAATAGCCCGAAACCCTGGACAGACAGTACGCCGCAGCTGAAGCCATCTCGCTGTTGCCATCCTGGGAAGATTTTAACATCCATTTCGGTCGTCATAATAGGAACAATTCTACTATTGTAAATTCTCTCCACTCATCCAGCAAATCTTGTCTGTGAAATGGGTCGTACGTCCACACAATCAGACACTCCATGTTAACGACGATGTCGCACCAGTGTAAAAACTTCACGTTAATGCAAACTAGACAACACACAGCTCGATTGGTTTCCATTTGACTGAAGACACGATCGCTAGTGTCGATGTAACCTTTTTTCCTTTTCTCATCTGCCATTTGAATATAGATTGGATCACCTATACTCCCTAACGTAGACTTACGCCTCTGCAACATGTAGAGAATCCAACTAGACACATCTGCCTGTAGGGCTTGACCGTACGGAGGTTACTCTTTCCGCCCCGCCGCTGAGTGACGCCCGCGGATCGACATGTTAGATTGTCGAGCGGATAGTGGCCTATGAGGCCCCGAAGACGAGCGGAGATAAGGCTCGTCTTCGTATTCGTAGAAGAGGATTTCCTGCCCATTGATATACATGCGAGCTACGGGACGTCCTGATGAAGGCCGTTTCGGAAATGGTGAGGGCGTACGAAACCTAGAGCCGATGCCGCGTACGGCACCCGCTGTACGCGGAGAGGAAGGCAGCGTCGACACAGGTGATTGCACCTCTTCTTCTTTACGCGGGCGCTTCGATCCTAGAGTGCACCATGTTAGATTGGCGATCTCTTGTCCTGTAGTTGGCAAGCATTCAGGCTTGGTCATAATCCCTTGAAGCATTTGTTGAACGACTGACAGGCCGTCAGTCGTCATGGAGGGCTCGTCAGTTATGCCTACGGATGAAGGCATACCCATTGGCAATGGGTCTGACATTGCGGGCGACCCCATGGAAGACGAGGACTTCTCGTCTTCAGCTTTCAGCTCTAAGCCGTCCGAACTAGCGCCAGACGACCTGTAGGGTCACGGCGAGTCCGTGGCGATGGGTTTGAGCGCACTTCTGATATGCAGAGGGTAAATACAGGTCTACACCTGATTGGTCCGTAGATGA